GCCAGTTCAAAAGAAACGACATTCGTAACGCCAAGCGTATGTAATACTTGGCCCTTTAAAGACATGGGAGTGGATTCGTTCACAAAATGAAGGAGCAAAACAAAGAAAAGGACGTTCCATTTTAGGAAGGCGTTCCTTCAACTCGGGGGCCTGTAGATGGAGAGCGCCTTTCGAAGACAGCGCGAAGGAGTAGTTCTTGTCTGTGTGTTTTGTTCAGTTGTTTCGGCAAAGCTGTCGTTGCTACATTTCGCAGAGGAAAGAGGAGTTCCGGCCTATGTGCCATATACGCCAGAGACGTTGCGCTCGCACTTCAATTTATCGCTAATGAGGATAAAACACGCGAGGTCTGCCTCAAGCTCGCTCGAAGATTCCGTCGAGCTTGAGATGACGAGAGAGGAGCTATTTTTACGGACCTTCCACGGCAGAGACGGGGCGTTGTCCGGTGGTCATAAAAAAAAAAGAGGGGGGGGGGGGCAAGGAGTTAGAAACGATTGGAGCGTAGTGGAGAGGGGGAGGAGTTATGGCGGCAGAAATAACGCATTTTTCTTCTCCTCGTGTTGCGGACGTTCGTTACATATACACCCACCGCAATGAACGTACCGAAAACGCCCCAGGGTCTCCAGACGGGGGTGGAAAGGGGTATAACACCGCATTACTGATTTGCATAATGTCCCGCTGTCAGGGGTATAAATTGTGGTACGGACCGGAACAACTTTCAAAAATTTTATTTCAATTCGTGCACGTTTACTGACCACACGAACAAACCGACAGATCTGGGTTGCACTCTCGTCTGCCATTTGAGGAAAGGGAAACGCGGTGGCGGAGAGAAAGATTAGAGAAAAGGCGGAGGTGATGATGAAAGAGCCAAGGGTCAGAGACCTCTGTTATGCACGTCATTCGCACTTGCGGTTTCGAATTTGCGGCAACGTTCAACTTGATGGTTTTCCAGCGACTCGATTACCGCGAGAAGTTGGCTTCCAACGCTACACTCAAGGCTTGCTTCGTAACTAACGTTATACGATTCAGGCTGGACGACTTGCACGATGTTTCACAACTCGATGCGGAACTGTCGAAGCTCTCACAGTGCACTTCTTTTGCGGGACTGCGTTCTTGCTTAGGAAATAATGTCGCTTCATAGCGGATTTTCTTTGAGGCATTCTTACGTAGAGAATCGTACAAATTCTGAAGTGGAAAAACAAAAAGAAACAAAAAAATATTTCACTGAACATACATATCTATATTTTTTTCTTCACTTCTGATTCATCTTTACCGCCCGTTTTTTGTTTGTTTGTTTGTTTGTTTTATTAATTGTCACACATTTAAAATAACGTTGATATGTTGTTGCCTACTATCAGTTACTTCGCAGTGTACTTTGCGAATGAGCTTTTTTACTCGGCTCGAGCTGAACGCCTATAGAGCATGACGATAGTTATAGCGCGAGAACAAAACGACGACACAGAGACAAGAAGGACACGAAAGACACTTCTTGTCTCTGTGTCGTCGTTTTGTTCTCACGCTATAATTATCGTCATGTCATACCAACTAGCCCAAGCTGCCACACGCCTATAGAGCGTCAGAACAATGTAAGCTCGCTCAAAATGTGCGCAAGTTACACAAACGTAACCTGGCAAAGATGAGAAACACGCACAGCGATCGATTGCTCGCAAGTAACTCAAAGTGCGAAAGCTACAAAGCATCTTTGATCACGGCCGGACCAGAGCAGGTGTCGCTTCTCTAACCCGGCTGCGCTTTGATCATGTTCATGAAAAGTTTAGGGTGTTGTGTGTTTCAAAAGAAGGAATCTTTGACGCTAACGTGCTCGGATAGCATGATTGTTGGCTGTGAGCTTGATTACTCGAAGAGACGGACATCGCTTGCACGTCAAAATGAATTGCACAGTTGACCGATGAATATATTCAGCCTAATTTGATTTTAGTCTACTACTTTCATGTTGCAGCTTACGAATTGTGACTGGCGAGTTTGCTAGGTGTGTCCACTTGAAACTGAAATTATAAAGCCTTGAAATATTCATACTCGAAGCTTCAGTGGTTTTTACTGAGCAAAACGGTGATTTGATAAATAGCAATGGAACAACTGCAACGTGTTCACCACAAATTTGAAACTTCAGAGAATTGGCCAGAGCTTTACGCAAACCCTGTGCGTAACACAGAAGCAGCAGCGCTTCGTTGTATTCTTTCTCAGAAAGCAGTATAAATTGTCCGTTGAAAATTGTAACCTGCTTCAAACCCACCATGTTTTCTTAGTGGGCAGTCTATTGCGCTGCTATGCTTCTATTATAAGCATTTTCCGATTCCTCGTCACAACGTATTCATTTCGATGAGGTAGGATGCGAAAAAAAAAAAGCGTGTTCAGATTGAGATGCACATTAAAGAACCTCCCGCGATCAAATACAAGCATAGTTACCGATCGGGGCGTGCATCAGAATCAAGTTGCGCCTTTCGCAGGTGGAACCAAAAAAAAAAAAAAACTTAACTTATTCTGTACTGCTACCATAATGTTCACACTGTGTCACAAGAATGTGGAGCTCCCTCAGATTCAGTTAATAAATATATCGGGCGCTTCGAGCTCATCTCGGATCCAAACTCGCCAAACTTTCTCACAACCGGCCTCACTTGGACTCAGGCTCACTAAAGTTTCATAACCAGATTCACTCTAGTCAAGACTACCAAAAATATTGCTCAACTGGACCCACTCAGACCAATAGACACGGCTCAATATTAGTTCGAGTGAGTCGACTTATAAGGTAGGTTGCTGTCCTTTGTTCCTGAGGTTGTTTCGTTGATAATCATATATCCGGCTCATATGACAGCTTGCAGCATGGTTTATGCAATAAATAGATAACTGCGGATAGCAAGGCCAACCAATGGTTATCCATGGAAGCACGCTCTCACCAGATCACTCGTCCCCGCAGACTCGCGAAGACACACTGCCCCGGCATGTCCGAGCTCTCTTATATCAAATTACGGTTACTTGTACACCCACGCCATCACTTATCACCGTCCTGGTCGCCATTACTACTCCTCCCGTACGGTTTCATGTACATTTGCGTGGCGTACGTTATCGTGCGCAACTGGCGTTGCGTCCTTCTCGTTGTTTTTTTTTTTTTTCTTCTTCTTGGTCGTTTCTTTAGAGCACAGAGGAACGATGGAGAAACGCCAACTATCCGTCCACAGCGTTAGCTATGGTCCCCAGCGAGTTTCAACCTTTTTTTTGTTTGTTTTGTTTTCGGCCGGGGTACTCTCCAGAGCGCCCTTTAGCCCACTCTTACCCCTCAGCCGTTTCATGCGCGAAAAGCACGCAAGCTTCTCCCCAGAGCCCCGGCGCCAAGCAAAAGAACTCGATGCGAAGGAGAAATGAAACGGCAGCGCAGATGGAACGAAGAAGAGGACGGTAAAAGCAAATCTGGTGCAGCACGGGGGCATTCGCTGCGCAGGCAAAGAAGCAAGAGATGTAAAAGAAGAACTAGGAGGCCGCCTCGGTTCGACGACGATGGCGGCGAGAACAAATCGCAGATCGAACCAAGCGGAGCAACAGACACGCACGCGCGCGTGCCCCGCTCGCGTGGCGGTGGCAGGGACGGTTTATTTCCAACAAGACCCTCTGTTTTCTTTTTCTACTTCTTCGCTGTTTTATAGAGGGTGAGGAGGTAGAAAGGGGGATTTCGTTTTTATCTCGCTCTTTTCTTCAGTGACGCGCTGCACCGCGAGGGCGCTTTCGCCTACCGATTCTGCTCGGAGCCGAGGTAGTATCGCCTGTGTAAGTGAGAGAGACACAAGAAAAATGTCAAGACGATTTTGGAAGTAGGAGAGCACTTACTTATAAATAATAGCTATACGAGCAGCACCTTTCGGCGGGGGCACCAAACTCCGCGCGGGGGAACGCCTGTCCCGAAATAGAAGAACTGTGCACGCGCCAGTCGCACGGACAAGAGTGCCTTTTTTTTGCATTCGCCACCCATTCCTCCGCCATCTTTACGCTCTCTCTTTCCTACTGACGTCGTCGCCACGCTTCTTGTTGCGTTTCTTTTCGTTTTGTTGCCCCGATCCGGGACCGCGGCACGCGTTCTTGTTTGTGTATGTTCTTGTGCGCTGTACCGGCCGCGCAAGCCGCGACTCCCACCCAGGTCTGCCAGACTCTGGAACAGAAACATCGGGTGTAAAGGTGGGGCGAGGAGGGCAGTGGCGAGTGGTGAGACAGTAAGGGCCCCGCGTTAGGAACGAAACTCTCCCCTCTCCCTGGCGCAGCCGCTCGTCACCCCCGAGCGGCAACGATCCTCCTCGCCATCCTTCAGACTCTGACGTCCCAGACAGGCCCGCGGCTTAGAGCTCTCGGGGGTCCAGGCTGGCAGTCTGTTGCGCCACGCGAACGAGGAATACCGGATGAAACGGGTGAGCGGGAGACCCGCCCCGGAGTCGACCAGGACGAAGAGAGAAAGGAACGAAATCTCCGTAGAAACGACCGCCGTGGGACGATCAACCAGTCCGTGAGAAGCGGTGTGCGGAATCCCTAATGTCCTAGCCTTAGGCACGGCCCACAGGATTCCGTGGTTGTTTTTGTTTCTCTGTCCTGCATCTCATCTCTAACATTGTTGTGTTTACGTGTTTCTGATTTTCGCCTCCGGATGCAATGATTGCACTTTTTGGCTACCCTGGGCTTTTATCAAGGAGTACATAATCATCTGAAGATGACCAGCGACAACGCTGAACATTGGTCTATCGGACGTTCGGTATCCCTCGTATCATGGGACGCCAGTGCAATGTGACAGAAAAACCACAATAATAAAATAGTGTTCTCGTTCTCCTGTGACGTTCAGCAAACGGGTTTAGTGCTACTTCATTCAAATAAGGGTTGCCGAAGAAGCCGTAAAACCATTTCAACTTATGCGAACGCTGCCAGCACACTAAGTTCAAACATTGCTGTTTGGTGTGACTGCTATATTTAAGTCAGCACATAAGTATGAATATCAACAAGAATTAGTTATGGAAGGCGGTGGAAACAAGACCGGTGCTAGACGTCGCAACTCTAAGAACCACCGCAAGGAGTACAAGGAGCCGTCAGCATTCGCTCGTATAAGGGAAGACGACGCACCGCGATCCTCTCGAAGTCTCGACAGCCTCACCTGCAGGCGGTCCCAGCGCGAAAGATCGCGACAACTGTGGCGGGAACCACAGGACTGCATAAGAATCAACGACATGGAAAACATCAGCAGCGGCGGCCGTCCGTACAGTCGGAAGTGGCGGCTGGCGAGCACGACCAGGACAGGAGTAACGCCCGCGGTAGCAGGAGGGGCAAGAGCCCGAACAACAAGAACGGTGGCCGCAAGGGACGACGCCTTCGACGTTCCGCGTCCTCAACTGCAGCGGAGCGAGACAGCGACAAAAGTACTCCGGTAAAAAACCGGCAACCGGTGCGAAGGACGAGCAGTGAAGGACCGAGACCTCGTAGTATGGTGACGCTTCGTGAGGGTCCCGAGATTCGACGGGTAGGCAGCGTCAAGCGAGAGCCCGGACGGTGGCAAGTTGGGGTCCCGGTCAACCCTGGCCTCCGGTGACTGTGGTAGTGCGCAGTGGAATAACGGTGCTTCGAACAGAACGCCCGCCGGAACTGGCGGGAGGCTGCTGAAGACGACGTCGCTCACCGAACTGTTTGCGGTCGAAGTCGGACTGGTGCCTTCGACTGGGCTCTCCCAAAAGGAAAGCCGTCGGCGCAGGATAGTGTTCGCCGTGGTTCTCGTTGCGCTGGCTCTGCTGACGGCCAGCGTCTTGCTCGTCGCCATCACGCTATTTTTATCGCCGGCTGTAGACGAAGTCTGTAAGTATATGGTCTCTACTCCTGGGGCAAAAATTTTGGAGGAACTGTATTGCTGTTAGTACCTCTCCATGTTAGCCACTCTAATCTGACTCGCGTGGAAGGAACCGTTCGGGTACGTAGCTGTGCAACGGACATTCACTCTATTTTTTTGAAAATGCACCCTTGATGAGGGGTCGCAATAATCGTCCGATTACGTTGTTAACGGTGATAATGATAGTAATTTGAATATTTATGAAGTTTACCTAAGTATTGCCTTTAAAACGGAGCGTTGATTACTACCTGTCCTGTATTTGACATAGCCACATTTTGTTTTTCTCTTTTCCTGCTGTCTCTTTCATTGTTACTTTTAGTCAGCATTACCATTTATCTGACATTTTCTATATTATTGAGCCTACGCAAGATACTTGTTTTTTTTTTTGCCTATTTTGTCATAAAGCTATACCATTCCGAATTACCTTTGCTTCCCCTGAAGTCCCACAGTGCCACTTTCTTGACGTTGAGCGCTCCTTTTGTCGTTTTTTTTTTCTAAAACGCTAAGAAATAATTGTAGCCTACATCTCAATCTGAATTCTTAATGCGATTCTCCAGGTTTAGTACAGCTTGGGGAGGCATGCAAATGTCTTAAACGCAGTCGTGACATTCGCATTGGCTGATTTTTTTTTGTTGGTGCTTCTATCGGTTAAGTTCTCACCTCACAACCCTGTGGCTATCACGTTGCTGTAGGTAAAAATTCAGGGATTTAAATATACAAAGTTGTTATGGTACACCTCTAATTATGTGAAGATGTATACCAGTGAACTGTGCGTTTGGCCACACGATTAGCAAATGTTGCCGCTAAAAAGCAAATAGTTTGTACGAAGAAAATGCCTCGATAGTTTGGCTGGAGTATTCTGGTTATATATTTTTTTATTTAAAAGATTCATGAAAAAGGTACAACGTGACATTCTTTCACTTTCTGATTAAATACTGTTTCTCACTGCGATCACAGAATATTTAATCGTCTACATCTGGCACTCGGTGACGGTGTCAAGCATACTACCATCGCTAAAAGCAGAGGCCTCAAGATGTTGGGGCTCCACTTTCATAACTTTTGTGAAACAATGCTGACAATCTTAGCTTGAACAAAAAATCTTTAGATGTCGTAGATGCTGTCGTGCATTCTCAGTGTTCGCCGAGATGAAGTTTACCGAGCAGTTTTTGTTTTGTTTATTTTGTGCTTGAAGGACACAAATATATTTATGATGGAAAGTTTAAAATATAAGCTATTGTCATGTCAAAGCAGCGATATCAAAGTTTATAGTATGCGGAGCTTTATGCGACAAATCCTCAATATTCATTACGAGGTGCGTGGACTGCCGGTTAATTTGGGCCATGAAGGATTGTTTAACGTGAGAATAAGCCTGGTCATACAGGGGCGACATTACATTCCGTTGCTATCAATATGCAGCCGCCCGGGCCGCAAATACATCTGGCATCCTTAATCTTATCAGGAAGACACTACCTGTTAAGCTTCCACGGCCGGTGAACCTCACGGTTCTTATATGCTTGTGCTAGCACGCGCGTGGCAATGCATAAGGTCTCCCTGGAAACTTTAGTTCGTCTGGAAACTTTTGTTCGGCACCACCCGTGTATAGCGCTTCTTCACTTGCTTTAAACTTGGCGCTATGTTGCAAAATCGCCTTTCAGTAACAGGCACACTTCCTTCTATTCAAACGTATGATAGAAAAGAAGGAATACGATTACTTCCATGATGAGCTGAAATTGAAAATAGCCATAATCAGAAGGCCACGACAGTAAATTTTTGTGAGTCGATATCTCCTTTACTCGCCAAAGTCCAATGAATTCGCGGTGAAGTCCATTTTGCATTCAGGGAAGGGGGAAACTCTTATTGTAATAGCATCTCTTTTGATTTATCCACCCCAAAGTGTGCCAAATTACAACTGAGCGTTGGCGGCGTCTTGATCTATTTTGGTTTTTGTCCGTGATTGCACGCCCTTTCTTTTAGAATTAGTGTTGTACTTATTATTGTTTTTGGCGTTAAATCTATTAAACTATTATGAAGCGGTCAAAAAACTAAGATCTATACACTGCAGCAATTCGAAAAAGTACAGGTGGGAGCATTGTTCAGTACCCGAATTTCTGCAAGGCAGGCGTGACTTCAGAAATCTTCATTTTCAAAATGCCGAGATAACACGAAGAAAACAATTAAAAACGTCACTGCTTAATTACTTCTAATTTCATCAATACCTGAGTATCGTGATTTTTCGCGAAAGCGAAGTCCGCTTCCATTATATATTTTTCCCACTGTCCGTGAGCTGTAGGAGAAATTTGACAAGACTACAATATAGTTGGAGCGAAGTTTTTGGGAGCTGTTGCACCACACTATCACTATGTATGTGGAGCCTATGCTGCCCAGAAGACACATACTATAGCCCTTCTTGACAATTAAATTGCGTTGTTGTCGTTTTTTTTTTTACATCCTGTTTCAATGGGTGAGCTACGAAGCACACCATCTTTGTTGTCACTTCTAAACAGTTTGAAGCAGCCGACGCCATCGCCTTGCGTACACGTGATCACTGATGCTACGTCAAGCCTACTACAGCTCGTGTAGCTCAATAAGTGCTCCTAGCTTTTAATACTAATTTTGAAGCGTCTACTGCCGCAAAAGATAGAATCACGCTTTTCACTTCATCAATAAAAGTGTACAGCACCGACCATGTTTTTCGGAGTGAACTCCGCCAAGATAACCTAAAAAACCGACGAAACTTCATTTCGTCAAGCAAAAGAAGAAAAAAAAAACTCCGTGGTCGTGAAGTTGGTGCAGTGTGCAGCGACGGCACGTTTTTATATCATCGAAACTTCAAGGACATGACGTTTACCTCGCTGCAAAGTTCCGAGCTTTGATTTCCGAGTGTTCTATGGCACGAATAAACGCTACAAAACGAAGATAAAAAAGTGAGCTAGCTACGTTAACATCTTGTCCATGCTCTGCTGCTTCGTCCATCTAACTTTCTAACTTTAGACATGGAAATAAAACGCAACATATTGAGCTAGTTACCCTCTCCAATTTCCTAAAAGCCAGCGCAGTGAACCAGAAACTGCTCCTTGGCTCTTTGGTGATGTTCATTTCTTCGTCCTCCTGCACACTGGTCCTTGCTGTGAAAGTGATTTCACGCAAAAGCCTTCCACTATAGATTTTCTGTTTGCTTTTATTTTTCAAAAAAACGGTGCGAATATGTGGGAATTTCTCTTTGCTTTTCTGCAGTACATAATCTAAACTGCATTGCTTTTCTGCAAAAAATATCATTCGCTTAGTATGCAAAAAAAAAAAAGACTGTGCGCTTTATAAGTGTTGTTCCAACTGGTCCCACAATACATGCATGTAGGTGTTTGTGGCTGCATGACGTACATTCGTGAGCAAGAGAGTAGAAATAGACAGTATATACCCCGACGTCCAGTGCATGGAATATTTTACGTGCGCGTAATTGGGCTAAACCAATTCATTATAATGATGTATGTTTAATATAGCGAATAACTATGCAGTGGCTGCTATGGACCTTTTCTCTCAATGCTGTCCTGGGTGCCGCCATAGTCCTCTATGAGCTGTTTTTTGTTGACGTGACCCACCAAAAAATGCACTGCCTAGGCTTTGACGTCGGCTTTTGTACACCAGTGCAACAGCCCAGAAAGGACGAAATCCTCCTCTCCGTAAAAAAGGTCCTCCTATATAAGCATCGCACTTTAATGGAACGGTTTTGTCACGGCATTGGCGGCGCTTCCTTATGCTTCTCCAGAACTGGAAGTTCTTGTGTTCGAAAAGCTCTTATGCAATAGCACTGGTCTTATGAAACAAGTTTCAACCAATCCCGCGCCTCGACATATTATTACCGAAAGCAGCGCTGCCTGTAGCAAAGAGAAATCACTAAAGCAAACATCTTCTCGATTCTTTCCCTATACCGAACGTTGGGGTACGCCATTCGCGCAGACGTCAACCATCTTAGAATAGGATATTTATAAGACCACATTCACAAAAGCATGGTACGCTACAAATGTTCGCAAGAGCACGTTTCAACCAAAGCTGATGTGGAACATGTTAATAGCGAGGCTGTTCGGCGAAAAGTAAAAATCACTTACGACAAAAAATTTCCTTGAATTCAACCTTTGGCACCAGCATCTCTTTGCTTGAATTCGATGTTTTTGGCTTTCCGACTTCTTTAACGAGATTAGCTGCGACGTTTCTTTCTTTTTTCGAGGGCTGTTCTTACGAATCCCATCAAGTACGAGTTCAAAAGGCCGGGAACTTCAAGCTTTCCGTTCATACAAGCCATTATGGCCGGCCATCAGCGCTAACATCACGCTCGTCGCCATAATGGGTCCACATTCATATTTCTCTCCACATACAAGCGTACGGACTGCTTCGTATACGTTGGTTGTAGGCTTTATTTTGTCTACTGCAGCAAAACGGGTCACTTCGAGCTTGCCACCGCCGAGTGATCGTATAGGCGCTGAAGGCGCCTTGAACTATCTCGTATATATGTTTATATGTTTAAGCAGGCAGCCGACTCTTTTTCTTGCGAATAGTATATAGACTTATACGTATGTACGTGCGTTGCCCGAAGCCACAAACCATGTTACCCTGCGCACATGATTCTCGCCGTGGTATATGAATGATTTCTTATTATTGCTTTCTGTTATACTTCGTTTTGGCGAAATGCAGGTGCTGGGGTACTGTCCGTGTGGATTCTATATGTATAGTAGGGGTTAACCTCCTTGCTTTCTTTCTTACTTTGTTCTTTCTTTCCGCTATATACTAGCACGCTAGGAAGAGTGATTGACCGTAAAAATTGAAGCAGCGCCCGTATGGACTTCGTTGTCCTTCAGGAGCACGGTACAGATATCACCCGTGCTCCTCTTGTAACAGCAGTCACGTAAAAGACTCAAAACGTAATAACTAGCGTTCCCGTATCAAAACAGACTCCGCTGTCCTTACACACTTGAGA